ATAAATTAAATAAAATCAGATTAAAATTAAATTTGTAATATTAATATAAAAATATGTAGTCATAATAAAATGTTTGATGATTAATTTGAGGTCTTTTAGATTAGGTTAGGTTGGGATAGGATAAAATTATGTACAATTATGAATTGAGTTTCGTAAATTAGCATGCCAGCTTTCATCTTAAATTGATTAATCATTCTTTATACAGCTAGGTATTACCGTAATAACAATAGCCGTCTTAATATTGTTCCCGAAACTATGGAAAGAAGTTGGAATTTGGGCTTCAATCGTAACTGCCTGTGTGAATTTAATTACTATATTGTTCTTAAATATGGTATGTCGATTATTTATATATTGCTATATGTTAGAATTGTACTAAATTACTCTAATTAGTTATACAGTAGAGTTGCATTATGGTTAACAAATTTTGAGAATCATAAAACTCAAACGCAATTTGAAGGTACAAAGTCTTTTTCGTCATATTGCTACTTTGTTACTTAAATTTATTAATTTTTATTTTCAATAAATAGATTCTTTAATTTTAAAGTCTTATCTTTTTGATTTTTTCAATTTTTATTCCACATTATTTTATATAATGATTTTTAAAGAACGGGTAATTTTTTTTCATCCTTAATTTGTCACTATTATAACCTCAAAGTAATATATAATTTTGACTTTTTATAAATAAAAGTTCGCACATGATATTGTGAAAGAAGTGAACATCGGATGTGATTATGGCAATTGCATGATAGAACTTACAATTCAATTAGCGATTATATTAATCGGCAAACAACTTGTCGGACAATTCCAAGAAATACTTATACCGTACGTATTCACTAGGAAATGCTAAAAATTCTGATCCGGAGCGTAAATACGTAATTCAGGAATATATCAGACACCTGATCAATGTACAGTCAACTCTCCGTAAATACATTCCCTTGGGACTATAGACAAAATTTACATTTAGAGAGGGTGTCCATTTATGGAGGGCATTTTATTAAGTGCTCTATATGTTGGGGCTGAAGATTAGTGTTTACTAATTTCCCCACACTTCTGATTGGTTCTACTAATTATTCACATATCGGAGTGTCTATGTTATTAATCAATTTTATGGTACTCCGATAGTGAAGTGTGGGGGGAATCATTTATGGAGGGTTGACTAGTTTTTATCCAATTCTAACTTTATAAATATATCATGTGCTGGACATCCATCAAAGCGTGCATATAATAGATTCTCCGCGCACTCCGGATAATTACTTTATTTGTATTCTAGCTCATTTTACTTTTAATATTACAGTTGGGCTATGGGTAAATTTAGCCGAAATCAAATACGTAAGGAAATAGAATCAATAAAAAAAAAATACAAGCGTTCTGGCAGGAAAAATGTACCTCAATGGGTCCACGATGATCGATTGTCATGTTCTGCTGGTACTATAATAGAATATCAAGAAATGGGTCAGTATTTCTCATTTTTTGGCATAAAATTATTCATAAATTTGCAAATTATTATTTCACAATTGACATTAATGTATTTGCTCTGTTATAGTTATCCAATTTGGATTCATTTTATTATTTGGACCTGCTTTTCCGTTAGCTCCTCTATTTGCTTGGCTAAATAACCATACAGAGATTAGATCTGACGCTTTTAAAGTAATATCTTTTTATTTAAATACAAGAATAACTTATTCATATTTAATAATAATAATTATTTGTTTCAACATTCCATCAGTATCTAGTGACACTAAAAAGACCAGTAGGCTTCTTAGCCCAAGATATTGGAATGTGGGAATACATTCTAAACATTATGGCTTTGATGGCAGTATTAACAAATGCCATAATTTTAGCATTCCATTCTACATGGATGAAACAACAATTTCAAAACTATATCAGCAACCCTGATGATGAAGATCAATTATTGTTCAAACATTTTATTATGACTACATATTTTTATATTAATATTACAAATTTAATTTTAATCTGATTTTATTTAATTTAT